ACTTTGCCTTTGTGTCAATGAATGCTTCTGGCTGGGTTTCAGCCAGCTTCACATATGTGTTGGCGGTCAAAGATGAAGCCAGGACCTTAGACCTTTTCACATGGATTTAGTCTCAGAACATCCATGTGTGCCATGAGCTAATAAGCACACAGTGTTTTGAAGCTGTCTTCATCTTCAGAGCAGATTAGACACTGATTGAATTATCTTGGATTAATGTTACTCTGTTTGAATTGTTTGTCTGCTTATATGAAACCGTTACTGTAGTGCATCCTCTTTCTCATCAGCTTGAAACCTTACGATTGATTTCTGAGTTTATTGAGCTTGGCCTACATCTGCAGGGATCAACAAGTTAAGCCTCAGCCTTTTAGCCCTCAAATTCTGTCAGTCCAATACAAGCACGTTCACTGCAGCTGTAGTCATTCTCTTCATAATATTTTTGCAGCAGTTTCTTCTACTTTTTCTGTAGAAAGATCTTTTATCTTTGTAGCCGTTAATTTTCCAGGATTTCTAAAGAGTAAAGAGCACAATTTACAATTTTGGGGTCAAAGACATAGATAGAAATGTAAAGTTTAGAAAGTACCCTACTTGTGTAGCTCATGAAAATTTTGAGCATTTTCTTAACATGTCAGTTACACATATTGAAATGTATAATTCCATGTTGCTCATCTGAGCAAACTCTGTTTACTGAGGGAGATCAAAATATGTTGGACACTCCAGAGAAAGCAGGTTAAGTAGATCTTGAGTCACGATTTATTCAATGGGATATTTACTAACATATATTGGCCTTTTGTTAACCACAGACCTTATTTCAGGCATCTAATCAAAAACCCATAAAAAAACCCATTGATTTCAGGACAGAAGTGCAAAAATGCTAACTCAGCTCCGGATACAGCACAGCACTCTTATCTCCTGCGTGTACCTTAAAACACCATTTTTAATTTGTCCTTTTCCTTCACAACTGCTAGTCTTTTTTTTTTTTTTTTTATTAATGTCAACATCTAAACTATAAAGTGTTGTATCCTTACTTTGACTTCCTTATGTTCTGCATTCTAGAGCTCTTTGAATGCAGAAAGTTGTGTGCCCCTGCTGGGATGGGCCTTTCTGTTCCGGGGGGTAATTACAAGCTTTCCAGAAGGTGGGTAGAGCCTAGTAATCCTGATATTTAATTTGGGAACGTTAGGGTCTCCTACAAGGGAAGGGCTACATGGGTGGAATTTTTAGATATAGCCCCACCCTGAATGAAACATATGTATGGTGAAACACTGTTGCCATCCACCACTTGATATGAGCCGTGATATAGTGTTCGATCTTTACACATTTCCTTAGCAACAGTGTACAAAACGTGTTTTTATTTAGGAGCTGTGAGTCATGATTTATCTGAGAATATGCTTATCATTAGTGTGCAGCAGAAAGTTTCTGTTTATTTTCACACAGTCATCACACTGACATGCTTCACGTCAGACCTTTGTGGATACATCTCTTCTACACTGTCTTTATCAAAACCTGAAGGAAAAGAGTAAAGTTTGGTCTGCCCTTATATTAATAATTAACAGAAAGGTTTGGTAAAGAGGGAAAAGGTTCACACAAACACCCTTTTTGGGCTTCAGTTTCTGTAATGGTATTTGTTGTACTTTACTACTTCTTGCTGTCAAATGTGAAACACAATCCTACCAGGTGCTGAAATTTCAGAGGTTGTGATGTACTTGTGTAATTGAAATTTGATTTTCTTGAAATGAACAGTTTTTAACTGGGCTTGAAAAATTGAAGATACTGTAGGTAAAGCCTATACTGCAGAGTTTCCTCCTCCCAAACACCCACTGACAAAGTCCTCATACCTTACAAACATCTTAAATTGGTGCAAAGATGTGTTAGAAATATATTTTTCACAAAGTTGTCTGGCTTTAGCTTGTGGAGCAGGCTGACTTTCTTGACTTTTTCTTCATCACATTACAGTACACATGTTAGAGATACAGGAACCAGACTTCTAACAGAAGAGAGACCGTGATCATTATCAGTTCCTGAGAACCTGCTGCTCCCAAAACATCACACAAAACATCTTATTTTAAGCCCTTCAACACAGCATCCATCCTCAGTACTTTTTCTACTGTATGTACCTGGTAGCCTTGAGGTCAACATAACGGTTCAGGCTGTCCCACAGAACAGAATCCCTCCATGGGAACAGGACCTGTCTGTTATTCCAGCTGCATAACATTCTTTCAGTGGCAGCTACCCAGGACTGTACAACTTCCACTGTTATCCACACATGACTGCACTGGCGGGGCTTGTTACTGATGTCTGTAATACCAGTCCAGTAGAGATAAACTATTTCACATAAGCTCAGTTCCTTGGATAAAGCCACAGTGCAGCTAATGTGCAGTGCATTAGTTAAAGCTAATGTGTTTGTTTTTGTAACATTAGAAACGTAGCATGCTCATGATTTTACCTCTGTATTGATTTAACCTGATTTTCATTTAGGAGTAATTTGACCTTTATGTAACATTAGTGCTTTGATGTACAGTAACCACAGCATTCTACTGAACTGCCAAATTTAGTGTTTAGTCAACTAATGCTAGCTTTCTCCAGTTAGTCGCAAACAGGGATTCTTAGTTTACATTGTTGCTAGGAAACTGGATGTGATGGGAGGGGGCAAAGAGCAGTTAGGAGCACATCGGTGTGGGTTAGGGTGGAAAGTGACGACATCGCCATTTACTCTATAAGGACCTTTTTTTTCCAGTTATGGTAGATCATGGGAATGTCGAATCATTCCAAACATTAGGAGCAGTGCCATAGAGTTACCAAGACTTGGCTGCTATCTGTCAAAGTAAGAGTTGAAATCAGTAGCAATAAATACATTTGTGACATTTTAAGTTAACGATGTGTCAAAACACATTTTATTTAACTGTCACCTTTCGACTGTCTCTCTCAAATAGTGTCATTTTAATATTTGAAATAAAAATAATAATAAATTAGGTGCAAAGCTACCTAGCTAAATTAGCTATCAAAAACAACAGAGCATAGAATTAGCGTGCAGGGCTGTACAACTTTGCTGATAAATCCTGTTGTTCCCTACAGAAAACAATGGATCTGAATCAGCTGTTTGGAACTATTTGAAGCTACATGAGTCCTGTGACCCGCTGCCATTTTTGAACATTCAGTGTCGCAGCTCTTTTATCTTAAGGGCTCTGGAGCAGTTTATGGTGTCAGTTTGTTTTGAGACACATTAGACCCTCTAGTGGCTGAAAAGAAATTAGGTTGAGTAGCTTTAAGGAAAGTAGCCATTTGTGCAGCTTGATTTTCACACGATGAAGAGAGGCAACATTTCTAGTACTAAATACTGTGACCCGAGCTGTTAGGGGAAAAGTTAGAATTTTAGGTTTGATTTGTGACAGTCTTTTGGCAGAGATGTGTCTGAGTCTAGAATTTTCTTGTGGAGTCCTGTAAATCCAGTGTCAGTTACAGTCTCAGTTATACTCTACTGTGTTTCTGCCATACTCTCTGATCACGCTACCTGAACGAAACGGTATCGAATACCCAAATATACAACAGAAACGCTGACTTATTGTTACTGTGATACCCGCTGGTAATGCTTGAGTCTCTTTTGAAGAACAAGAAGTGAGTGACTGATAGATGACACTTATTCTGTCAACACCTGCATGGAAAACCTGCAGGGCCAGAATCAGATAGATGACTTCTGTTCTCTTATGAGAACATGTCTGATGTCCTCACTTCCGGTATGAACAGGGATAGAGTCAACAGCAATTAGTATGATGTTGAACCAACACCCCTCTCATATAGTCTCAACAGTACTGCAGCATAGGTAGTTTTACATGTTGTGTTGAACTGTATGTAATTTTAAAGCTTTTATAATTTTCACAGAACTGTATCAGTGTCCTGATCACTGTCTGAATGAAATAGCATTATTACCACTTCTTTTTTTTAGATTAATTGTTCATTTGTTTCAATAACATTTTATTGTCTTTGTTTTGGGTCTGTACGCTATTAAATTACTGAGTAGATGTTAAGTACTTTCACTGAGACGCATAAAATATTTATTATTTAGAGAAGTTTCCTGTGACAAGTAGAATGTTAATGTTTGAAAGAATATACACGGTATGTAAAACAATGCACATACTGTAAATGCTGAGATGAAATCTGCAGGTTTTGCTGTGCATTGGAGTTTCACAACAAAACATAAGAGAAAGGGAACAAGAGAAAGTCTATTGTCAGTAGTATAATATACGTATATAATACACAGTATAATAGGGGTTTCTGTAAAGGTAACCTTTTGTGACTTCCTCATGAAAAAGAGGACCTGATCTAATCTCACTAAATTAGTTCTTATATTTTTTATTACCAGTTTTTTTATGTGAAATTTCATCATCAAGGCCAAATTATTTTAATACTTCAAGTGAGATACAAATTTGATGAGCATCATGTATAGAAAGCCAAATTCCTTAGGCATCATAATTACACATTTTCATGTCACTATGTTGCAGCATAGGAAGGTTTATAGATGCTGGGTGTTGGGGGCCAATAATTAGCTGAGATGCTGGAGTAATGTAATTCATGTGGGAGTGTCTGGCACTGTTTAGCTTGAAATCCTCTGGGTCTTTTGTCAGTTATGTCATCATTGCCAAATTGTCAGGATGATTTCTGTGCAGTGTTGTACATTGCGTTGGCTGAAGGTATTTAAGTTTAGGATGTAGTTTTTATACCTTTTATGTTTCACATATTACTTCATTTCCTCAGTATCCTTGTCACACTTTCACTTGCTTCCTGTCCATTTCTTGTACCACACGTGTTTTACACCTTAGCTTTGTTTTCTTCCTGCAGCTCTCTCTAAACAAACCATAAGTAGTTCAAATCCAGTGTATTGGAGGGGGGAGGGGGGAGCTGGGCGGTGGCCATGGCTCGGCTGCATCGTATTAGGGCTGGGAGTGTTGAAAAGGGGTGTGGCCTGGAGCTAGTAACATCTGTGCCTGTCCCCTCTGCCCCCACAGCATTCTGCAGAGAAAGGCAGAGAGAAGGAGGTCAGGGTGGGAGTGGATACGCCTAGAAGTAGTTTTCACCGGCCAGCTGGCTGTTTGCAAGATCTCAGACAGCAGCAGTTCATGCTGTATGCTGAGGGAACCTCTTTCTGCCATCGGAGAAAAATGGCTTCTGTTTAAAAGATTTCTGATGATTTTGACAGCATTTGAGATTCAGCCCGTTAGCTGCTCCAACCCTGTGCTGACGACTTTGAACCTGCCTCGCTTGCATACCTTGCAGAGGAAATGCTCTGCTGCGTGCTGTGTACAAGCATCGTGTTTTTTGGCGATCGTGCAGAAAGCTGGATACTGCAGTGAGTTGAAGATATAAAGGGAATGCTCAGAACACAACAGAAGCACGCGCAATCCTGGATAGGGTAAGACGAGCTCACTGAATCTTCCTATTCTGTCCTCTTATCAGGTGTGTGTAAGGAAAAGGAGTGCAGGAGCTGAAGCCGGCTATCTGCTGAATGGAATGTGTGTGTGTGTGTGTGTGTGTGTGTGTGTGTGTGTGTGTGTGTGTGTGTGCGTGTGTGTGTGTGTGTGTGCGGTGTTTGTGTATCAGGTGTGTGTAAGGAAAAGGAGTGCAGGAGCTGAAGCCGGCTATCTGCTGAATGGAATGTGTGTGTGTGTGTGTGTGTGTGTGTGTGTGCGTGTGCGTGTGTGTGTGTGTATGTGCGTTGATTGTGCCATCATATCAGTCACCGTGTGCATGCTTGAGCGGAATTTGGGGTTGCTGGTTTGCTTTATCACTTCGCAGGATACACACTGCATTCACCTCACCAAGATGTAGGTGATTGTCATGTCTGTCTTAATTACGGGGTGCTGGTATGGAAAGCGGTGTTGCCAATATAACTGGGGGAGGGGAGGATGACAGGCCGTCCAGACCCTGCCCCGGGGCTGATTTTGCGGTGAGACAGTTGCCCACTTTATGTGGGGAATGCCCCATGATGACAAGGATGGTCTGGAGATAGGGTGAGGTGGTGCTAGCAATATGTACTCACACAGAAACAGGCTACAGGCTGCTACCTCCCACCAGCTTCTCTCTGTGGTTTGGCAAACACAGCCTGTTATCAGTGTCAGAGGAGTGTTAGGGAAGAGGGCATACTTTTTTCCATGATGGGGGAGGAGTGCAGATAATCAGGTCAATGAAAAGGAAAGTCACCTTGAGGGGTCTGCTCATTCTCCTCCCTCATTTCCTTTCACTGCCCATCTTTCTCAGGTTCCATTCTCATTTCCTCAGCTTCTCTTCAGAGGCCATCTAAACTCTACATCACATGTAAAATACCACACAGACTGATGTATTTCAAAGCTCTGGCAGCTACTCTTTGTAGTTCTGCAGGATTTTATGGTACCTCTGAGCTAGAGTTTACCCTGTAATCCTTAATGGTTTTGTTATTTGTTTTTGGCCACTGAATTACAGAGACAATCCTATTTTCTCTCCTATAAACATCCAGAGCAGATTAAAAAGGAGGGCAATGTGCGGTGGAAGGGACTTACATTAAATCACGTACGCACCCACCCACCCAGCTTGCACTGGTCACCCACCGCTCTGGTTACCATAGCAACTGAAGAAGGACTGTCTGCAGCTCAGGGTACCCGAGAAGAGATTATAATACTCTCCACACCCCATTATTGATGATCTCAGAGATTGTCTCTTTTACAGCTTAGAAATGCATTTGTCACTAATACGCGGCAGTGCCCAGCTGTGGTGTACAAAAAATCATTTACTGCTCCTTCTGCCACACGGGGGGCAGGGAAAGCCTTGATAGCCGCTATTAGTGCTTTATAAGTCCAGAGTTTATATCTGAACTCACCAAAGGTTTATTCTGGTTTTATTTTGCTTAAGGTTTCTGTTATGTGAATCATTAATGGTGCAGTAAAAGTAGACATACAGATGAGCTAAAGCACCCCTTCATTAAAGTCATGTTTCAAATGTGTTCAGTTGAATTTATGTTAAATTAGATGTTTATAAAAGTTGTAAAAGCTGATGTTCTTGTATTATTTTACTACTGTATTTCAACTATTTATCTATTGCTGTTAGCAAACTGTTTCAACTACTTCTTCACACACTTTGAATCATAATACTTGGTGTTCAGGTGTTGCATATTTGGATTCTTCTTCTTTTTTAAAGTTTTAAGGTTAATTGTATTTTTTTATCACCAGAGCTATTCTACAGTGTTTCCACATAATTCTTGGCAAATGCAGAAGTTCAAGCACCCCGGTGTGGGAACTCTAGTTGAGTCTGTATTGAGTGCAAATACAAACACTTAGTTGGATTTTCTTCTTCAGATAACTGAAGTAGGCTTTCCTGGTTGTGAATCAGTAGATGCATCTACAATTGTCTGACTATCAGGTAAAATTTCTTTTTTTTTTTCCATAATGAAATTACATATCTTAATACTCTAGCATACAGTACAGTTATTAGGAGCTTTATATGTAGGAGCACCAAAAACATAGTGAATAAGAAAGACACTTTTGGCTTTTCCCGTTTAGGGCTCGCCACAGTGAATCGTCACACTGACGACTCGCATGTTGACATTTGTTACGTGATTTACACCAGATGCCCTTCCTGACGCAACCCTGACTCAAACCTGGGCCACAGCTGGAAGAGCGCTGAGACTTAACCACTATCCTACCAGGGACGACTCCCCAAAAAAAAAACAACATAGTGAATAGAAATCAGAATTATATACTGTACATATGTGAGAAAAACAGACCATAAAAGTTAAGCTACTGTTTTTGTCAGGTCCGCTCGGCGCGACCTGCCTCTCTTCCGCCTTTCTCTCCTCTGCTCTCTCGATCCTGCGGGATCTGCACCTCAGCTACGTTGCTTTCAATAATTAGCGACTCGTTTGTCAGTGCGCACAGCTGGGGTGCATCCCGATGATTACCTTCTTTCTTATTTATACCTCTGGCAGACGCTCCGTCATCGCCGGAGCATTAACTAACATACCTAATTTGCATACCCCGTAACTGACCTATATTCGTGGTATGCGGCACGTCGTTTGACTTCCACGCTGACAGTTCCTGTGCTGTGGATTTCAGTTTGTACGTAGGTTATATGTTTTGTGTTATTCGTCTCTAGACGTCCACACTGACAGTTCCTGTGCTGTGGATCTCTTTATGTTTTTTCCATTAGGTTAGCTAGATGTTATATTGTTTTCCACGCTGACAGTTCCTGTGCTGTGGATCTCATTTTGTATGTTGCTTACCTGTTTTTGTGTTACACGTCTCTAGATGTCCACGCTGACAGTTCCTGTGCTGTGGATTTCCTTTTTCGTTCGCCAAACCTCCTGGGTAGTTTGTCTATTCCCCAGTCTGTCCTGTTCTTCCCACTCTCCTGTTTTTTTGCCGTTAGCCTGTCTACTCCCCTGGTCGTCCTGTTCTCCTCAGCCGTATTTGCTCAGCCCTGGTTGTATGTGTTCCTCGACTCTGTTCCTTTTTGTAATCCCACCAATAAACCACCTGTTTTTTTTTTTACTAGCACCTGGGTCAGCACTCTTGAGTCCAACCTCAGTTCTCCCTCACCCTCCTGGTGAGGGGGACTAAACCGTAACAGTTTTGAAATAGAAAAGTTCTTTCAAATTTCAGCTTCCATGTTAAACATGACCATTTTGTTCATATTCTTCATAATTATGGAAAGGCTTGCTATGGACTACTCATATTTTATGTGCTATTTTTAACTGAGCTTATTAATTTAGTCTTGTTTTGGAACATAGCCAGTAAACCAAACCCTAGACAAGTACGCTGAAACCCTGGCAAGGATATTGTCGTGTGTTGGAGTTGTTTCCTTCCCTGCCCCAAGTCCAACCTCCACTTGTGGGGCTGACCTGAAGAAGAATGCTAACATGTTAAGAGTGGGGGGTTGGAGAGTCTATCTGCAGAACAAGTTTGACAACCTTGCCTGTGGAAAGAGCAGCAGTCTTTTAACCTGCTTTTTAATCTCTGTCCTCCCTACATTTCAGCCACACACTCCCCAATCCTAAATGTACATTTTTTCGCTTTCCATTGTTAGACTATTCATTTGCGTAAGAATTCAAAAGAAATATCCCTTATTTTTTTAAGGCATGTAAAAGTTCATGTTCTAGATTACATCCAGCTGTATCTTTATCTCTTTGAAAAAATATCCTCTTGCCTAATTTCTAATTATGATCATGAACTCTCCACAGAAATAGATTTTGGGGATTGCAGATTTGGTCAGAAATATCAGGAAGCATGTCTAAGGATCAGAGGTAAGATAAGTAAGTGTCAGCAAATTTGCTTCTCTAATACACAGCTCGCCAAACATGCAGTGAACTTGCCATTAAGTGGACATGTAAAAAGCCATAAGGTATCACAAAGCAACACACCAATCTGACATATCTGTCTATCAGCACTGGGTTTGTACAGCCCTTTGTTCATGAAATAATGCTGTGGCTTCATAGACCAAACTGTCAGTTCAGATTATCACAGAATCAGCAGATGGAACATTCAGTCATAGCATGAAGAACAAACACAGTAGGTTAATCAGCTTGCACTGATCATAGCCTTTATGTTTCTTCTATTCCTGTTCATTGATCATATTTGGCCACATTTAACTTTGACTGTTAAAAACAGGCATGGTTATAGTTACATGAACTAATCTGTAGTTCACAGACTAATGACCACTGTACTATTTCCAGATGAACCGTGTGAAGACAATGAGTCTGTGTAACAAGGAAGGATATGGAAAACAATTAGATTACCTCTGCGTGACATGGCTAATGGAGCTCCCTGTTTTTAGCCCCAACAGATACCGTAGCCAGTGTGTGCTGATAACAGTGCACAGTAGTATTAACCTTGCTGTTTACCATTAAATTTTACATTGAAAATTACAGTTGTAATTTTTGCAGCCTTGTTCAAAGCATAATAGATACGTATATCCATGTACACACAGACTACATCATCATCATAAAAACCAGAAAAACAGTCACACCAAAAGAATAACACTAGATTCCAGCATAGGCGCTAATGAGCATAACAGCCCAAACAAATTTTATTCTAGTCCGCTGCCACTACTTTTAAGTCCTACAAGATCTGAAAATTTTCAATCCACAGTCATATGGACCAAGTGTGAAATGTGTCTGCTGGTAGAAGCTGCTTTCTTTGTCTGTTTCTGTGCTGTTATCCCTTTCTCTGCACTCTCTCTGTGTATCCATATGTTAGCCCTGTAATCTGAGAACCACTTCAGTAATACTCCCTCAGCCATGTGACATTAATGCTCCAGAGACAACGCCTATGTTATATCTTGACACATAGTCCTGTAATGAATGCACATGAGCCAAACAGGTCTGCCAGTGCAACACTGCTGTTCTCACATTAAGGACAGGTTTGATGGCTCTCTGTTCTTTGACTG